GCCCGCCCCCCCTCCCGGCGCCGGCCTCTCTGCCCGGACGCTCCTGCCCCGCTGGCCCCCCAGCCCCTCTGATCTCTGCGACCCCGAAGTGCAGGTCTCCACCTCGCACCGTGACTCCTGAGGGAGGTTGTCTCCCACAAGCTCGCTGGTGGCTGTAGGGCCGGCCGGCCCCTGTGCTCTCCAGCCACCCCCAGGAACCTGCTCGCAGCTGGCTGTCGGCACGCGGCCGGGCTGCAGCACCTGCCTGGCGCCCAGCTGTGTGTTGGAGCCATCCAGCTTCCACCCCCGGCTCATGGAAAGACGTTAAGCAGGTGGTCTTTGGACTTGGCCATCCCTGAATGCTGTAACCTGCTCCCCCGCCCGTAGAGGAGCGAAACCCTGGAGACAAAGCCAAGCTCAGCGCTCGCCCAGCCCCAGAGCGGGGCTGACTCCTCTTGCAGTCCCAGTCCTTTTCCTCCTCTTTTTCCACCGCCTCTTCAGGCCCGCTCAAGGGAGGAGCGCAGCGTCCATCGCTGCCAGGGCTGACCAGGGGACAGCAGCACGTTGGCCCACCAGCGTTTTAAGTACCAACAGGCCAGCTCAGAGCAGACTTTCGCCACCCAGGGTGCAAAATCTGACAAGCTGCCTGACGCCTTGTTGGTCTCAGAGCTCCCATGGTTGCTGCCGGGGAGGGAGGGCAGTAGCCTTAGCAGGAGTGAGAGCAGGAGTGAATTGATTTGATCCCCTCTGTGGTATAGAGGGGCACGCAGACTTCGTATCCGCTGTGGAGGCGAAGGGAGCTGGGTCCGACATGAGCAAAATCAAAATCCTGCAAGAAGCCAGCAACCAGCCCTGCCGCTCACTCTGCGGCCCCAGGGTCACTTGCTCCTTGGCAAGATCTCTTACTGCCTTGCATGCAGATGCCGACAGAAGGTGTCTGGTTAGCAGCCAGGCTCACAAATACTCAAAAGAGAGAGTAAAATTCTGCACCCTGCTGCTATTTCAAATTCTGATTAAGACCTTGGGTGCATGGCTGTAGCCACGGCAGCGAACACACTAAAGTCAGCTGCGCTGATAACCCGATGCTGGATCTGTGACCCTCACTTAGGGGAAGAGCCCTAGGAGAGTTGCTGTTAGGTTTTCTTATTAGCTAATAAAATTCACTCAGATGATTGCTTTATTTTCTGACCAGAATCCACATGAATGTTCCTCTATGGAAGGATAGAAACAGCAAGAGAGATGCAATATAATAAATAAAGATCAGCTCTTAGCTGTGAGACTCTTACCAGGTTCGGAGGATCTGGGATGACCTGCTGTAGGAGGCACAGGGCAGTGATGCAGGTATAATCGAGTGAAGGCAGGTAGGGGCTTCTGCCATGGCCCTGGCCAGCAGCAGGAGATGCCTGTGCTGGCTGGGGTGCTCCAGCCCCGCTGCTTGCTCCGCTGGGCAGACGTGGCAACGTGTTGGGCAGAAACGAGGACTGGACAGGAGGAGGGTGTTGCTGGGAGGAAGCTGCAAAGTTGCTTTGCCTTTGCAGAGAGACATCATGAATTTAGAGGCAGAAAGGAGAAGTTAACTTGATGAGTTAAAAATTATCTCCTTTTTGGCATACTGGCTAGACTTAGTTATGCTTGGCTAAGTGCGTTAACAAGAAGTCTTGGACTGAACACCTCTGCCTCAGTCCTTTCCACCTACTGCTGATCTCAGCATGTTTCACCTTGGTTTTGTCAATGTGCCAACCAACTAGGAGAAATCTAATTGGACCAGCGCGCTGGGGGCTTTGAAAGATGCCCAAGGAATCCTCTTTGCTGAAATCTTTGCCTTGGATTTTGAGTTTTTGTTCAGGATTTCGTTTCTGGAAGCAGAACGCCCCTGAGATGGGGAGGCTTGCGTGCTCCTGGGCTGGCGGTTGGCCCCGTGCAGGCGTGTGGGTGGCAATGCCCTGTGTCCCTGGTTTCACCCCGGGTCCCTGGTGCGCCACTGCAGCGCCTTGCTCTGGCCGCTGAGCAGAGCTGGAGCTCGTTTGTAACTACCTGGGAACAGGTTATTTCAGAGAGTCAAGAGATGACAATAGAAGAAAAGTAAAAATTAAACCTATGCATCTGATCGGTTGCAGCAAAGCCCATTGGAAAGCTGTCAAATATTAACTGGCAAAGCTGTTTTATGGACAGTCAGAAATCTGGGAGCAGTCAGCAGTGCTCCATTGAGGGAGTTTGTCTGTCAGCTCTTGGTGGGGTCAGCCATCGCAGGAGACAGCAGAGCATCCAGCCGTGGAAATCGTATTTCTTAGGCTAAAAAACAGTCCCACAGTCCCAGATCTCTTTGCGACCCAGCCTGGTCCTGCTGGCACCCAAATTCAGCGCCCTGGAAGGAGTGCGCCACTCCTGTGAAGTTCCTCTATTCTCTTTCCTGGAAGTTTTCCAGCTGCATTAAACATCAGATGTGAATCAGAGCAACGTTAAAATCGGACTGTGCTGCACAAAAGCATGTGTCATTCTGAGCTGCCCAGAGATTTGGTGAGTGACAGAAACGGTGCTAACCTGCAGATGGTGTATTTAATATTTAAAACATTTCAAAAATGCTGGACAGAATTCATGTTAATGCAGACTGTTTCCTTTCAGTGACTTCTATGTTTAGCTTCCCCTTTTTTATGTCAGCTTATCAGAATTTTTTGTTTATGTTCTTCACGTTTCAGTCTTGGTGCCACGTTCGAGACCCTCGGGCAGCTCTGCGGGGTGGTGTCTCTGCAGCAGGGGAGGTCGGGGCTCGTTCCCCGTCCCTGGGGGTGCGTGGAGCCGCACAGCCAGCCCACAGGCTTGGGAAGGAGCCGAGGGGGTGCTTCAGCCAGCCAAGTCCTGAGCTGCAAAGGTCGATTGTGGTCTGCTCTGTCCCCTCTTCTGTGCACTGTAGACAGTAGTGCTGTCACTGGTAAAAGCAGTAACCTGGTTTCTGCAAAGACACATGGAAATCTTTCTTCTTCCTCAAGACACATCTGTTGCATCTCAGACATGATTAGTTTGGGGATTTATGTCTTGCTTTATGCAGGATATTGGATTGAGGTTCAGGCATCTTTACTTTTGGCCAGTCACCCTTGACAGATTAAGATGGATTTTGATCTAATCTGGATTTAAAACCAATTTGCTCACTACTCAAATTCTGAAGATCTAATCAGGAAAACTAGCTCCCTGCACAGCTTGACATGTATTTCAGGTAACTGCCTCTCTACGTAGCGAGCCTGGAGCACAAAGAGGGTAACAGAGACCCAGAGCACTGTGCTACAAACGTGGAAATCAAAAATCAAAGCAAATGTCTCTTGCCTCCTGGTTAGATCAGTGAGTGCTGCAACAGGGCAAGCCGAGCGGGAGAACTGTAACCCTGAACTAAGAGAGATAAAGGAAATCCGCGACTTTCTTTGGTCAGAAATGGGACTTTGCTGTGGGAGGGGTGACAGACAGTGGCTATATCTCCATAGTAGAAAGCCATTTTAGTGTGGAAGAACTGACCTTGCTTCTTTGCCATCATTTGTTTTAGTAGGTTTCTGATACTTTCTAAGTTTGCACTTGCACGAAGGCGCTGTTATTTTAGGTCCACATGACCCGGGTTAGCATGAAAAGGCAGGTATTGGCTTGCGGTTGAGGCTCTACCAGGAGCGGGGCCAGGCCTTGGGCTGCCCCCGGGTCTGGCTTCCCCCGTGGGACAGGGCAGCTGGGTCCAGGCCGCAGCAGGCAGAGGGTCCCGGCAGAGGCTCCTGCTCCCCTGGTGCAGAAAGCCCTGCGCACAGCCAGGGGGTTTCCTGGGCTCACAAGCCCGCCGATGCCCACAGGTAAGCACGCAAGGTTTATTCCCGTTTGCATTTACCTGACCTGTTCACAGCTAGCTCCCGGCGGTCCAGGCGGTTCTGCCTTTGCGGTGCTGGGCCCCGTGAGCCATGGTGGGTTTGGAGGTGCAGAGCACAACAGCCCGTGGGAGCCCAGCAGACACCACCACCGTCTTGCGCTGGTCTGAGGCATCCAACCCGCTGCGACTCTGGACGGGGAATCTCCGAGCGGGGATAGGACGTGCCCCAATTGCAGGCCCCGTCCCCGCAGCCAGCGTGAGCATCCCGGTGCGTCCCAGCGTGTCCCAGCACAGGCAGCCCTGGGCGGTCCTGCTGTTCGTGGTCCGACAGCGAGCGCAGGGCCAGCCCTGCTCTCCCCCGCTCCCTTGTGCTGCGCTTGCCGCCACCAAAAAAAACATTGCTGGAAAAGGAGTGCAGGCACCAAGCAGAAATCCTGCTTCTGTAACATCATTGTAAAATTCTTTGTCTGCTTGTTTACCAAATGTGCCAGAAACACCACGTCTTGTGCTGACCCGTGATGTGCGGATTTCATTCAGCTCAGCATCCTTTTAGAGAAATCTGAGTGTGGTCAAGCATCTAGTGTCTAAACAAAAACCGGAGTCAATCTGAACAACTACTGAGCAGCCGCTATTGCTCCACAATACTTTTGACGTTCAGTGCAATTCAGTGAAATTCTGTTTTTTGCACGAGCACCCATACAGTTAACGATAGCTTCCCTGGAGTCTAGATGTTATGATTAAATTAAACTGCTGGCTTGCTCCGTACATGACACTAATTATTGGTTTTAAACTGTCTTGGTGCTGGCCAGCTGCACTGGCTCTAAGTGCCATGCAGAGATCTGAGGGAGTCAAAAGTTTAACAGGTTTTTACCATTTTGCAGTGTAATTATTAGTGAAGAATTGGTGGTATGCAGGGCACTATCTTCATTGTTCATTACTTACTAATAAGTCGATAGGACTACTGGGGCCGGGAGTTATATTGCGTTTTTTCCTCATTAATTCTGCTGGACCAGCCTATTCTTTCATGCTGCTGCAGATTCCTGTATATATGCAAGATATGACGGTCTAAATAAAACTGTCAAGAACTGTTCTGTTGGCAAAATTAGAACTGAGGATTCATTAATGCCACCTAATTTAGGACTGAGGATTGCTATTGACTTGTAAACTTTGCCAGCTCTGCAACATTGTGATGAGAAGCTGTTATTGTGTTCCAGGACGTGTCAGGAAATGCGGCGTTTTTGGCCTTCACTCCCTTCGGCTTTGTTGTTCTGCAGGGAAACAAAAGAGTTCACTTCATTAAATGGTGAGTTCTCCTGACTTTGCCATCGCGCTCTAGTCTGTCTTGCTTGCGTTAAGCATCTCCTGCCAGCTCATTTGTCCTCTCTCACTTGCAAGGTTCAGGAGAGGACAGTGCCGGCGGGATTAGCGTTGTGCTCAGCAGCCGCCGCGGTCCTATGAGGTGGCCAGGGCCCCTTGCGGAGTGCCTGGGGCCCCGGGGCACCAGTGCCCCGCGTTGCCCCCCATGGCACCCCAGGGACACCCTGGTAGAGCTCCCGCTGGTGGCAGGGTGGTCCCACGAGTGATGCCAGGGCTGCGTGCCTTCCTCGGGACGTTAACAGGCAACACTGAGGAAGAGGCTACGCGGCCCAGTAGGGACCACCCTCAAGAGCGAGGGACAGTGGTAAGCGCAGCTGGGTCCCCGTGACGTAGCTGGGGGTGCAGGGCTCAGTCTCCGTCTGGCAAGGGGTCGGAGGGGGAGGAACGGCGGGACAGAAGCTGCAGGTAGCTGGAAAAGCTGTTGTGTGCCCAGCACGCGTTTGCGCCAGCGCACCCCAAAGCGTGCACTCCCTTCTTTTCAAATGCATCCGCGTTAGGTTAGACGGATGCTGAGCCCAGAGACACCTGTGCCAATCCGAATCGGTTTGTTTAAACCACCCTCCCCCGGAGCATCACTGCACACTCCCAGCAGTGACACTGCAAAAAGCCCCTACGTGAGCCAGCGCTGCCAGCTGGGACAAGCAAGGGATGCTGGGGTGGGTTTTCCATGGCAGGCCTATCTCAGCTGTCGTGACTGGAGCTTTTCTTTTTTGCCTGGGTTCCTGCCCCAATGGACAGCTCACAAGGGCATCGTGGTCTGCTTGATGAAGGCCTTCTGACTCTCCTCGCTCTCGCCTCCCTGCTGTGCCCCTCAAACCCTTGGTGTTTCTTCTCGTGGAAGTGTCTGTCTCATATTCGGGTGTACCTCCTGCTTTGATGGCCTTGTTGGTGCCATCCCATCCGTTTGCAGCTCTCCAGGCCGTTCCCAGTCCTAGCGCTAAGATACGTGTGTCCTAACACTAGTGTCCCACCTCCTGGCCCTTTCCACCCAACTGATGTGTCAGCAGCACACAGTTTTGTGGCTCTTCTGTAGGACCAGGTGGAAGGGGGCAGCATGCAGTCAGGTTTGTGCCGAACAGCCCCCTGGCGAAGCTCCCTGCACGGCACTGAAATGAGGCCCGGTAGAGAGCGTCCCCCAGGAATACCCGCCCTGCGCGCAAGGCCTGCGCTCGGCTCGGGGAGCGCGGGAGCCTGCCTGGGCAGCGTGCGGGTGCTGCTGGCTCCGAGCGGCAGCGGAAACGCAGCGCTGCTCCGGATGAACGCGCCGGCCTTTGGAGGCTGTTTGGAGGCACCAGCCTCCCTCCGCAGCGCTGCTGAGCCAGGTGCAAGCGAGGCTACGGCCCTGCAGGGAGCTGGGGCCTTCTGCTTCCCCTGCACAGACGCATCACACCCTGCGGAGTAGTTTGTGCCGTGAGGACGTTTCCTCTTTGGCAACAGGTTGAGCTACCGCTTAAGGAATGGCTTTTTATAGACATTTAGAATTTGGCAAGTTGCATTTTGAGGCTGAAAAATGCTTTTCAAATCTATTCCTTAATGGCACAGATAGGTAGCTACGTGCAGGTCATGTGAACGGGGGTGAACTGGGCATGACTACATGTGGGAGGTGAATGCTTTCAGGACGCTAACGAACGGCTCCTCATCAGGGCCACAGGCCCGCTGTGTGTTAGCCTGATTGCGCTATTCTTTCATGCACGATTCGTCACTCCTTGCATGATGAAATAGTTACAGAGCAGCAGCCCTTCGGGTTTGAAGCGAGTTGATAAAGTGAGCCTATGAGCCACAGCTCTTTCACACAGAAATCTTTGAAAGCGTTATTAGTGTCATCTTCCTTTGAATATTTATAAAATATGACTACATGTATTAATAATAATATGAAGCCATTTGGGGGAGGGGGTCAGGGAGGCGTCTTCAAAGACTGCAAAACTATGCTATTAAAACAATGGGCAAGGAGGGGCTCCTGCATGGTCTGAACCGCAGGGGAAGAGATCATAGTTCTCCAGCAAGCGGTAACAGCTGGGGCAGCGGCGCCCCGCAGCTTCCGAGACACTTTCCCGGGCTGCCGTCGCCGTTCTTGGGGCTGTGTGATTTGCCTCCTTGCGATGCAGACTTTGTATAACCCGGTTTCTGAGCTGCCCTCCATCTGTATCTCCTTTTCTAGAGTTTCCACCCCTTCCAAGAAGGACACGCATATGAGATCTTCTCTTGCCTAGTGCAGCCCCAAAAGATGGGGTCAGGACACAGCACCTCTCATATGAACATCACGATAGTGGCCAGCAGGACAGAATTTGTGGCTTTTTGACAAATAAGTTAACTGTTATTTATAACTTCTTTTTAGACCACCACCTCTGTTGGCAATGCCCTACTGGGTCTTGTCCTTTCCTCTTCAGCCTGGAGTGCCAGGCATGTTTGCTTAACTGATTTAGAGACCATTTTGTCTGATTGGGCTTACTAGATTTAAAAATTGGCTTGCAGCCGGCATGATGGGATCAAACTGATCTTAGGCAGGGGTGAAATCGTTATATTCCTGTTCTATTTATCTGGCACAGGACTCGAGGGAGTTTGATTGAACAAATTCAGCTTCATGTGAGCTTCACTGTCCCTTCCATCATGGTCACTGGGCCGTGTCAGAGCTCTCCGTAGTTTGCGGAGCTGCAGCAGGTCAACCGGACACAGCCCGCTCTGTAACGAAGACAGGCTCTGTATTTCTGGCCATATCATTACGAGACATTTTCTTAACTCCCGGCCTCATTGCACCCATTTGTCAGTTTTCACAGAAGTGCTCAGAATAGCTGATGGCATTGACCATAAAATATTTCTGTTCTCAAAAAAAAAAAAATCAGGTTTCTTGCCATCCTAGCCCCCTTGTGTTATCCTCTGCTCCTTGAAAGCCTCCCACTGCTTCTGCCTTAGGCAGAATTGTAGGCACAAAATCGGGTCCGTGCTCTGTTGTGTGTACATGTCTTGTAAAACCGCATTTCAGAGTTTCCAGGAATGGATGACGCCCACACATTGTGCGCATTTGTTTTGCGTTTGCAAAGCCCTTTGTTGGCCTGTGCAAGCGGGTCCCTGCACCTCCGGGACAGGTGCTGCATGTGAGCGTGCAGTGGCCCGGGGTGCACACGGCCGTAGTTTGCTGTTGGGGAGAGTGCACTTTGCCTGACTGTTATGTTGCATGAGCTGCTGGAAATCTGTCACGGCTATAGAATATAAGTGCTCTTCAGCAGTAATTTGTTGAGCACTCTGGAAAATGCTCTGTGTACAAACAGAAGTGGCAGTACCACGTGAAGGAAAGAAACAACTCCCATCCTCGGAGTACCCAAAGTATCTGTTAAACTTGGAGAATTTTCTGAGACACAAGAGAAGAGATTGCAGCAGAGAAGCCAGGTCCCCTTGGGCGCTGCCGGTGTGCTAGCTGTCACTGTGCTCTCTCCAGGGCACTGGGGCTCTCCTCGGAAAGGGTGGCCCAAGCTGAGCGTAGCGGGTGATGTACAGTTACGGTGTCACTTCTCTTGCTTTGTACTCTATCCCGCTGTGGATGTATCCCAGTATCCTGTTTGCCTTTTTTACTGCAGCCATACACTGGGCTGATGGCTCCAAGGATTTTTCTACAATAACCCCTAAGTCCCTTTCCTGGTCAGTACGCTGCATGACTGTTCCATGTAATATGTACTCTCTATATTCAGTTTGTTGCCCCCCAGACTTATTATTTTCTACATTTGTCTACATTAAACTGCATCGTCCGTGTATTGGCAGAGTCACCTGAAAGCCGCCCCCCAACCCTTCTGAATCTGGTTGCATTGTTCCTCATTCTTTGCTGTATCGCAAATTTTGGCCTCATCAGCTAAGTGTGGTATCTCACATTTGATATTCTCATCCAGACAGTGCACATATGTTATAAGCAAAGTTCTCCAGTGACTCTTGGGCACCCCGCTGAGAATCACGCTTCATCCTGAGATGTTCCCCTTTTCCAGCTGCTGGTTTCTGAGCCAGGAGTCCACTTATCACCGTGTTACACTTTCAATGAATTGAAAAAAGTGTGGTTTTGAAACTGCTCCAACTACCATCCTTAAAACACCTATTAACTGTGAGCTTCTGACAAACAATTTGGCTAAAATTGTGCATATTACCTGATCCAGTTCCACTGTGTGGGGGCCGTGCATTAGCAGTGATCTGCTGGGGGTGATGGGCAAGGCAGCCTGGTACATGCATGTTCTTCTCCTTTCAGGAATGAGGTGACCAAAATGAAATTTGAAGGAAAGACATTCTATTTATATGTAAGTCAGAAAGAGGTGAGTGCATTTTCTTATCTTGGCACTTATTTAACGCAGTCTTTATCTTTGCTTCAATATATTAGAAGTTTTTCAACGTATCTGGGAGGAAGGCAGTCTCCACTGGTGTCAGCTTCTGAATTAAAGGCCTAGAGTCACAGCTGCAGGGACACAGGCACAGTGACATGGGCTGCAGCTCAGGCCACCAACCCAGGGCCTTGCTCTGTAGCTGGCCCATGCTGAGCCCCATGCCCCTACTTCCCCATAGCTTTAATCTTGCTGATTTGGGTGGCAGTGGCATAACAGACCTGTGCTGTCACCACGCACTGCTGGGGTCAGCTCCCTGCTAACTGTGCAGCCTTGATCTGGATATTAAAGCATACAAAATCCAGGTTTAAAACAATGTGATCAGTACTTCGGTGCTGTGAGAGTCTACCGTGAACGGAAGCCTTGGATCTCTCTCAAGTACTCAAGATGTCTACAGAGCTGAGTTATGTGTTGGATTTAGGATTTTATAGTTGTTTGTTATCACCATCCAGCTCCATCAGATCAGGCTAGCTAAATCGTTCTGAAAACATGTATGCAGCAGTTAAGCAATCATCATTGCTTTTTCTAAAAGTATTTCTGGGCATTCAGCAATGCAGATAAGCTGGGCGTCAGTGAATAAAGTGGTTAGCAGGTTACTGATGTGCGTGTCTCTCCCCATCAGTTGTACTAGGTACTTCTTCAAGGGTGTCAGTCAGCTTTCGAAAGTCTTCCATGTCTTGTAAGTGGTTCTGGAGGAGGGTTTTCACCTTATAAATGCAGTTTTTCAGCTCCAGCAGCCCTGGCATCCCTCCGCATTTCAACATACTGCCTATTGGTCAGCACTCACTTGTTTCTGTATGGACTTCCTTTCTTTTTTCTGTAGGAAAAGAAAATTGTTCTTACATATTTCGCTCCGACACCAGAAGCCTGCAAACATCTCTGGAAGTGTGGGATAGAAAATCAAGCTTTTTACAAGTAAGAGCAAGAACATTTAGACATGTGCTTTAGTTTGCATTATATATTTCTCCCTGGGTTGGTATCATCCCCGCATAGCAGCCACCCCTGGAATACCCAAGGGCAAGATCAAGGTAGTAGGGGCTCAGCCCTCGGTTCCGTCTGCTCCCACCTGCAGCTCCCTCTGCCGTCGCCTGCAGGGTGTGACCTGCATCCCGGCAGCCTCGGCGGATTCACCAGCTCCCAAAAGTGCCCTGCACCAGCACTGGGAGCTGCTGCCCCTGCCAGGCCCCTGCCTACCCTCCCCTGGCTCCAGCAGGCAGGGCGCTGCCCAGCACTTAAACTGTATGGTGCTGTTCCCTTTGCAACAAAACCTAATCTGGGGATTAAGACTTTAATGCTAAGCAACTGGCACATGTTCTGTGAACAGAGACAGGTATATTTTAGCATGTTCTCTGTTAACTGCAGCTTCTTAGAAGAGCTAGTCCGTGCGTGGAGATGCTCAGCTCCCTGTTACGGCTGCAGTTCTGGAAGCTGCCTGCGCTGGTGGCAGTGAGGGCAGCTCAGGAGGTTGATGTTAAAGCTCAGGGAACGTTTTCTGACCCTAATGTTCAAGGCATTTTCAAAATGGCTTAGCATGGATCTGTTTGTGCTGAATCCAGGGCTGAAATTCCCACTGAGGTCAAAACAGTGCCCTGGGGTGCATTTGAAAAGCCCATCCTACCAGCTGTTAATTGTAAACGTTCAAAACCTCCGGAAAGAATCTAATCTGTTTGGAAACAGATTAATTATTTATGTAAAATGCTGAAAGGATTGGGGAGGTGAATTTACCACAGGCATTTAATCTGGGCTGTAGCTGTGTTACTGAACAGTTGCTGCAGGTGCCTCCATAGCTGAGGCACCGTCCCTCTTCCCATGTGCAGAGAGCTGGATCCAAGGAATTCCCATTTTTCTGCATGCTGAGCCGCTAATAAGCGGAGCTCTTGTGCAAACGCAGCTTGGGTAGGCACTGCTCAGAGCCAGGGGCTGCTGGAGCGTGTCCTGGCTTCCCCTGGCCATGGAGAGGGGGATAATCCCCTGCGCGGGGGCTTGCTTGTGACTGTAAAGCCCCAAGCACAGCAGTCCTTGAATAAACCACCTGCGTTCATACTGTCTAGTCTCCAATTTCTAAACAGCTCAAAGTAACAGGAAGTGAGTATCTGCGAAGAACTGGCAGCAGGGAAGATTTTAGAGTGTAATCACTGTTCTTTCTCAAAAGCTGGAAAACTGTGGGCTCCGTTGTTTGTGCTAATCAAGTAAAAGTTTTCTGTTCTGTTCCTGTTTTAGCTAATTAGGCTGCCTCAGAAGGGTCAGATTATAAAGTAGAGCAGGTTACAGAATAGGTTATGGACTAGACGGTGTACCTAAAAATCAGGGAGCTATCAGGTGGAACATTTTGGTTTTACCATACTGCTCTGTGTTTTACTTAAAAATAGACTGCTTTGTACTTTATAATGAGTTTTATTTTAATCAGCAAGATGTAAGATAAAATGTGTAATGTATTCTCTTTGGGAATACTGCAATCAGCAGCTGCAATCAGCAGGTTTCATTTCTCATTATATTAACATGAAATGAAATTGCAATATTGCTTTACAAATCTTTTTATGATTAATAATGTTGGTAAATTACCACTGGATTATGTACCCAGTAAAATGGGCTGTGGAATAAGTCAAAGTGCTGAGTGTTTCTTGCTCTGTTGGAGAAGGGGCTGATTCTCCTGCGATGAGGAGGAGAAAGTGTTGTCACCCCCTGTGTTATTTATATATTTCTCACCAAAGCTGCATCCAGGAAG